TAATAAGAATGCTTCTTTTTCTTTTTTTAATTATGATTCTGAGACATCATCATTTTTTTATGCTAGAGTTTCATCATAGAATTTCTCTGCCTCTTTATATGTTATAGATGGATTTTTAACTCCATCAGCATCAGGATTAGGAAATACAATTACTAAATCTCCCATATTATAATCCTCATAGATATCTTACATTTCATTATATTCATTTGGATTAAGGAAATCATCCTAATATTTCTTTTCTTATTAATTAGAATCAACAACAGCTTTCATTTTTTATAAAAACTTTCGAGCATCAACTTGATTTGTGTAAAAATTTAAAATTTCTCTCAAATTCTCCTCCTTCTTATTTTACATCTTTTGTTTCTTTACCATTTTATTATTAAGTAATGGTTTCTTTTACTTAACTTTCTTTTGATCCTATGGTATTGGTTAATTCTAATCATCCATTATATTATTGTTATTATATATATATAAATAAATACTCAAGGAAAAAGACTTTTTGCAATTATACGCGATATTTTACTTAATTTTTCAATATTTCCATCTCCAAATATTAAAAAGTCACTTGCAAATATAACATTATTTTCTAAATATTTCACAGCATCATCAATATCAAATGGTTTGGTAGACTCTTGAGAATATTTTTATAATAATTTCTTAAATTAAGGTATATTTAAATTTCCTTCTGTATTAAAGAATCCCTTTAAATAGAAAAGACTTCTTTCAGTAAAATGAGTTACAACCAAATTTTTTGCTTTCATTTCATATGCATTAAAGAAAGCTTATACAAATGTAGAATGTTTAACTGCTATTGCCCTATTATAATATTATCTAAATTAATTACTTTTCCATCATTTCATCTGGATATGTACATTCATGAATTAATAGATCACAATTTTGTGCAAATTCAAAGAATTTATTTCTAAATTTTTTCAATTTACCTAATCTATCACTTGAATAAACTATTGTTTTACCATTTGAAGTTAATTTAATTCCAGTACTAAATTAACAATGTTAAGTCATTGCTATATCTAATTATAAATTATTATAATTAAGGAACTCCTAAAATTCCATTTTATTTAAATTATTATCAAAATTTAATTAAAAATTAATTTCAGGAAATTCCTCTGATTCTAAATTATTTATTTTAAATGTTTGATGTGATTAAGATTAAATTTATTCTATAAGATTTGAATTAATTAAAGCATCTGTAAATACAATTTTGATTTAATGTACATAACTTTTCAATCCAAATTCTTCTTTGAATAAATTTGTAAATAATTATGAATACCATAAATAAATTGGTTTTGGAAGTAATAAGAAAAATGGTTCTTTTGACAATTAACATTTATGCTTTATAAAATCATATAAACCTTAATGGTGATCATTATGAGAATGAGATATATATATAATTTATACATTGTTTATTTTCTATTTAAATTCTTCATCATTCTAACAACTAAAATAAAATTAATTTAATGTATTTTATCCACAATCCATCAATATACCAACATTCTTTATTTTTACATGAATTCCACTTGCATTTCTAGATTAATTTTCAATTGAAGATGATGTTCCTAACATTAAAACTTCATAACTCTTATTTTAAGTATTGACAATTTCATTATTTAATCGAATTAATATCTACTTCTCTTCTCTTTGTAATGAATAAGAAATTTATCTCTTGACTTTTAAATCTTCAAATTATAAAATTCCATTTTATATTTAAATTGTTTTCATTCTCATTGGAAGATATTTTATTTCATTTGTCCAAAGTGAATTAAGATTTGTCATTTTGTTATTTATTTAAAATTAATTTATTTAATCTTATCCTCTAAACAAATTAGGTAAACATTGTCTCATTATTTTTAAATAATCAAGATAATAATATCCAAACTTCTCTCTACCCATATCTTTTTAACTAATTTTGTCAAGTTCTTAATAATATTCTTAAGATGTTATAATATGGACTATTTTATAATTTAGATTTTTTAGCTTATTAATTAACTTATTATATATCTTGGATTCTAATAAGTGTTTATTAGCATAATGAACAATTATTAGAGTTTGATTCAAATTTTTATTTTGCTAATAACTTTTGAATTCCTTTTGATATAATTATAATTCATTTTTTAATTAATCAAATATATTTGAAACAAAGTCTTCAACTTCATCTTCATGCTTAAAATCTAATATAAGTATTCCTTATTATAATAATTAGGGATTAAATTTTTATATCTCTTCAAATGTAAGAATTTTGTTATTCACTATAACCTTTCCTTCTTTAACTTCTGGTAACTTAGATAATGGAACATTTAGCTATCTACATTTCTCAAAATCTAATTATTACTCTACTTTAAAGGTCACTAGATATTAAGTAAGATTAGGACTAGAGAGATTAAGATATCAGTATTACTTATTTCCAAAGAAAGCTTTTACTTTAGAATATTCCAATGATATCTGTTTATTTTAATCAACAAAATCTTTTGGAATCACATATTATGAAGCTTTTTCTTTAATAATTTTATTTACTCCATCCAAATTTTGCATTTCATGTTTATCAATTGTGTTTTTGATCATTTCTAAGAATTATATTTTATTTCCTATTCCAAATTTCTATTGTTTAATTATCATTTCCTTATTTAAATCTAATGCACCAAATGCTAGATTACGTATACCAAGCATATATCTAGTTAGCATAATAAATTAAGAAATTCCAGTAGGTCCCAAAAAAATCATATTTGTAAATTGATTTCTATAAAATGCATAATACATGATAGGGAGGAGACCTTAATAGACCTCTTAACTATTTCTATGAACAAAATAAAAGGCTTTATTAACAAATAAGTTCAAATCATGAAATGCCACCAACCTATTGGATGGCTCTTCACAAGTTCCAAAATATAAACGTTCATTACCTTATTAATGATCTAGACATATTGAAATTATTGGAAAGCGTTGTAATGAGTAGGTCTTAATGATTTGCAAATTAATACGCTAAAATTGCTTATGACCAGACATTATATAAATTAAGGTGAATTTAGTACTGAAAAAAGAGTAATAATCTCAAATCTTATAAATCGAATGAATCCTTCAATTTTCATTAATATTTGCGCGAATGTAAATCGAATTAGATGAAAACACTCTCTACAATAATTTTTTGTAAAACTTTACTCAATAAACCAAATTGGGGGAAGGAACATATGGGATCGTTACAAAAGCATTTGATAGAAGAAGAGCAAAATTTGTGGCTTTAAAGAAAATAAAGCTTGATAATTGTGATGATGAAGGAGTACCAAGTACTACAATTAGAGAAATAGCAATACTATCCAAGTTGTAACATCCAAATATTATAAGGTATAAATATAATACTATATAAGTTTGCTCGAAGTTAAATACTTTTTGGATGAAAAGAAGATATATCTTGTTTTTGATTCTATGAAACATGATCTAAGGAAATATTTAGATAAAAATACATCATTAACATTAAATAATTTAAAACCAATTATTTACTAAATACTTTTAGGTTTATCCTATTGTCACAGTAGAAGAGTTTTACATAGAGATCTTAAACCATAGAACATTTTATTAAATGAGACTATGACTGTTAAATTAGCAGATTTTGGACTTTCCAGAGTATTTCCATTTCCTATGCCTAAATTCACAAGAGAAATTGCTACTCTTTGGTATAGAGCTCCTGAACTTATGCTTGGAGATGATAATTATGGAACTGGTGTTGATATATGGGCTGTCGGTTGTATTATGGCTGAATGTTTGAATGGATCTCCATTATTTCAAGGTGATAGTTAGGTTGATATGTTATTTAAAATAATGAAGGTAATCATATAATTTTATTTTTTTTAAAGTTACTCGGTACTCCAACTGATGCTAATTATTTTGGATTATCTAAACTTCCAAATTTTATGATTACTTTTCCAAAATTTAGAGGGGAAGACCTCACTTAAAGAATACCAAAATTAGAAAACAATCAATTAGCCCTTGAACTTTTATAATCTATGTTATAATTCAATCCAGGCAAGAGACCATAAGCAAAAGAATTATTAGGGAATTAATGGTTTGATGATATTAGAAATAATTATTGAATTTTAGACTTTTTTTATAAAAATTAAATATATATGGAATTTATATCAAATGCTTTTATTAATTAATAATTCTAATTTTATATTTCCATCTTATTTTAAAAGATTTCTAATTGTAAATTTAAAGAATTCTTAATTTGTAAATAACATTGCTGAAAGTTCATTCTACCTATAAATGAAAGAATTTAAAAATTCTCTTTGCATATGAAAATAATTGTTCAATCAAACTCATACATATATGTCCAACTAATATTTATACAAATACTCTACAATCATTTATATAAAATTAGAAAAGAAATCTTATTAAAATAATAGTAATACCCTACTCTTAATTTACAGCTTTACAGAAAAAGAGAATTGAAATATTATTTTACCTTTTATGGTATATAATGTTCATTTTGATATGATGATGCTTTATCCAGTTTATAATTATAAACTATAATTTAGTATATTATTTTATAATATTTATTAAATTATAAAATCTTTAAACGTTTTACTTACTTTATAATTATGTGTTGAAAAATAAATTAGATTATTTCTTACTTTGAAATAGTTATTTTAATTATGAAAAACATTGAAAATTGATGAAAAAATTTGTGCAAAATCAAATAATATTAAATATATTAACTCTTTTTAAAAGTTAAAATTATGTTTATTTCAGAAAATTTATGAAAAAAATTTGATTATTACTCTTAAAATAACTATTTAATTGAATATTTAATACGAAATCAATAAAATATATTGTAAATATGTTTATATTAATCTTAGTTTTAAAAAAATAAAAGAGATTAGGCATAAAAAATTAATATCATCAATATATATATAATGTTATGAAAGAGTTATGGAAATATATTAAATTATATTATAAGAAAAATATAATTTATATTATTAAAAAAAATAATGGCCTTAATCCATAATCAAAATGATATACAAAACATGTTTAGTAAAGCAGGAAAGATAACTTCAGAGAAATATATAGTTTTTTAACGAAAAGAAGAGATCATTAACAATAGACCCAGATATTTCAAAGGGAAATCTTAATCAGCTGCATCTTCAGAAGAGGTAAATCAATAAGTAGATAAAAAAATGCCAGAAATATCAAGCAAGAAATAATAAGAATAAATAACAGAAGCAGAATAGATTTAACGCAAAAATTAAGTTAAACTTTCCCAACCATTTTCAAGACAACTGTCTAGATAAGTAGGTCATTATACAAAACTGAGTAAAGATAGTAAACCATCTTGTGGATAATATCATGTTAAATACAGTGAACTTGATAAGTATTTATTGAAATAATGATTAATAAGAGCAGTTCACTCAATTCATGATTATGATAAATCACTTAAGCACACAGTACCTCTGGAAGTACCAGGAAAGCATGGAGAACCTGAAAATATTGAGTAAACAATCAATAGATATATTATAGTAAACCAATAGTAGATAGGCCAAGGTTTTCTAGAACCTGTTTTCTAGATTTAGTACGATAAACCTAAAGGTATAAATTTATATTAAATTATAAGACCTGATATATTTTTTGGAAGACCAACTCCACATCCTGATAGATTTACATATTTAAATGTAACGGATTCATGGAGCAAGATTCCTAGAACTCCATCAGTCTAATTAGAAAAATAATTGTCTAGAGATCAAATGATAATTTATAAAAAAAAATAATTTGCACCTGATTATCATCCAAATTTTGAATTTGGTAAAAAGTATATGAATTGATTAATAAATAGATAATTAGGCAGTTGTGGTGCTCCATTTGATAAATTAGAATAGAGAAAAGATATTATGACTAAAATTCCACCTTATAATCATGAAACTTATTTTGAATTTGATGTTTATTCAAAGGATCCAAATAGTAAACTTTTTAGAACTCCAACAGCTCCAAATTTTAAATAAATGTTGGATAGGGAACAAGATGGAAAATCCCTTTTACCAAGCTTTATGTAGGTAATTATAATTTTAGACTTTTAAGAAATATTCAAATACTCGTATGGGCATTACTCATTTACATTAAAAAATGTTAGAAGTTAATAACTTTAGAGATGGAAGATTTCAAACTGTTACTTCAAGTTTCTTACCTAGTAAAGGTTTCAAAAAAAGACCATAATTGGATGAATCAAGTGAAGAAATTGAACAAATGGAAGAATAATGATGATTAGTAATATTATTTAATGATTAAGAATCTAACCTCCTTTATAATATATTTTTCTTTAAAATTTATTTAATATCATTTATAAAAATTAATTAATAAAATTACTTCCTTAATCCATTTCAATATGTTAATATTTGTTTTATATTATAAAGTTTTTATCATAAGATGTTATATTTTCTGAACTGAATTTAGTGGCATAATATCAAATACATATACTAATTAAATTCTTTATTAATGCACTAATCACTACAGTATCTTTTTTGAATAAGAATATAATACAAGTTTGTATTATATCTCTGATTATCTTTTAATTACTAGAAATTAAATGAATATGCTTAAATCAAACAGTTTGATGAATATCACCCTCCATCTTAATGAGATATCTACTCATATAGCAGAATAAATAAAAAACCAAAGTGAGTAGGTTTAACTAATATATACAGAAAAGTAAAAAACCTTAGAAAAATTACAAAAATAACTAGAGAAGATGAATCAACTAATATCCAAATTGTGTGATAAATAACTTCCATAAAGAATCAATTAGTTTCAAATTCTCTAGAATCAGTAATATAAATATGAACTTTAAATCGAAGAAGATTTAGAGCTTCCATGTTATAGAAACAGAATATTTAAAATCAAACTTAGGCTTGTTTAGAATGAAAAAACAATAATCAATTCAAATAATCTCCTTGTTGAATTACAAATGTAAGAATAGCAAGTAATATTAGTTGGACTTATGACAAGATTCCTAAAAAACTAACCCATAATAACAAAAACCAATCAATATTCAAAGGATGTTAATAGACTATAATTAAAAAAGGCTATGGAAGCTTAAGTAGGATTTAGATTAAGGAAGTTTCCTCCCATTTTCCAAAAGGAGCATTTCTAATGGTTATTTTACCAATAGATGATGGAGCTGTTATTGGGGATGAGAGGTAAAAGTATAATTTTAGTATATAGTAAATTTTTAATCAAAAAAGAGTGGATAAAGCCATTAATTATAAATGATGTTGCTGTAAAAGCAAAAAAGTTTTCTGATAGACATAACCCTTATTATGTCAAGTCAGATGGAACAATAAACATTTAGGAATAGGAATGATATATTTTTCATTTAGATATAACATTATAAATATTTAAACATAAAAAATATGTTGAAAACATTAAGAAATATTATCATTCCTAAAGACGATTTGAATATCTGGCAATATTTGATCAATCTTTATCTTAAAATAGTTTTCAAGTTCTTATTGCTTACATAAAAAGTTGTAAATTAGTTAATTAGTTTATGCTGAACATCTTTTTTATGCTCAATAAATATTATCAATGAACTTAATTAAAGTTTAAAATTATATATTAAGAAAATATATTCAAAATCTGCCTCATACTTAAATTATTAAATGTATTACTCATTTATACTATACATTAATAATTAAACTAATTAAGGTCTTAAATCTTAAAATAACATAATAACCTATTATCCCTTCTAATTTTTAATTACCTTCAATATTTAACATATTACATTAGATTGGGTTTAAATGAGATTTGAGTGAATTTCATTTCTAAAATGAAATATTTTTGGTGATATTAATACTTTTAATTGAATTCAAATTTTATTTTATTTTTTTTTAATATATAAATTATTTTAATTTTCTTAATGTACAGAACTTTAAAAGGCACCTAAATTTTTTCATTTATTTTATTAAAAAATAAATGGAAGATAAAATAAATAAACTTTTTGCATTATTTAGTGATTTCAAGAATCAGTAACTCTTTAGCTTAGCTTTGGCTCAAATAGTGAATGTATATAATGATTACCCTGCATGTTTGTATTAAATTTTAAGAAAAACAAACAAATTAATATATTCAAGAGTACAAGATCCTCGTCTTCGTTTAGAGCATTCTTAGATTGCAGCTGCAATAATTGAAAGAACATATAAAATTTATAAGTAATTTATTTTTTGTAATATATAGTGAACGACTTGAAGAATATTTGTTATCATCATCTAATGATTCAATCCCTGAAAATTTGTTTCATTTTGAACCAATATTAGATTAATAAATAGATGATACAATGTAATAAGAGTAAATAAGAGATTATGAAGAGATAAAATCAAATATTAAGCTAAAAAGTTAATAAATTGATTTCATTCATCTAATCAATGATGGAAGTGCAATTCTTGGAAAAGATATGAAATATTTAAAAAGATCATAAGAGAATAAAAATTAAAAATTAGATGATGAAACACTTGATATAAAATAAGAAGAAATAATGAGATTAATGGGTTTATCTGGGAATTTTAATCTTTCAAATATTACAAGATTATTAGAATTTATGTAAGGAGATGCAGAGATACCTATAGATATGCATACTTCATCTGAAGAAATGGTAGATAGTTCTAGTGATGATGATGCAGTAGGTTAATATAAAAGAAAAAATAAAACTAAAGGTAAATAACCAGAAACTAATCTAAAAAAGAAACCTTCTGTTTAAAAGAAGAATTAAAGTACAAAATATTGTGTAATAAATCCTTTTAATGTCATTTACAATAGAGCAGTCTATGAATTAATGAATCATAAATGGTAGGAAAGACATGCTAGTGCTCTAGTTTTAAAATCTATTGTTAGGCAAAAAGGATTTTTAAATTTAGGATTTAGTTATTTAATAAAAGGTGATGAAAAGGAAATTAATGGTGTTTTAAGAGCCAGTTTAATAGAATACATCAGCGATAAGAATGGATAACTAAATAAATTAGAATATTTATTAACAAGATGTTGTGTATTAATTGTAATGGATCGATTTGCAGATTATTTTGGTAGTCAAACTATTATGATAGTAAGAGAAGCAGCATGTTAAACTGCTATTACACTTTTAACAGATAGAAATTATAATACTAATATATGGATGCATTATCCTGATAGTTTTATGAAATTTGTACTTTTATTGAAAGATTTCATTGAAGAAGGTTAAAGAGTGTAAATATATGAAGTCTCTTAAAGTGCTTTATTTTTAGTTAAAGGTTTATTGAAAGATCATTTGTAAGTGATTTTTGATAATTTTTCAGAAATGCTTTTGTAGGTAGGATAGAGAGACAATGAAGATGAAATTCTAGAATTATTAGCAGATATATGGAAGGAATTTTTATAATTAGGTTTAAATTAGAAATATTTTAATACTGTTTATTCTATTACTATGGAATAATTAAAAAAATAAGATGATATCAGTTTTGCTGGCAAATCAATATTCTAATTTCTAAGTGCACTCTTCTAAACAGGTTTTAGAATTTAGAAACAATTTTAAGGAGAAATAGAAATTTTAAAAAAGTTCTTCTTTCATAGAATCATAGAAGTCAAAGAATCATTTTATAAATATTTATTAGCTTTTTCAAAGTAGTAAACCTAAAAATAAAATGATTCTAGAACTATAAATTTTATGAAAATCATATTTTAGACTGGAGTATTTGAAGAGAAATTTGAAACTTTCTAAACTTTAATGAATATCCTTGAACAATTATCTAAACATTTAGAAGAAGAATAATTATATGAATTTATGTAATTTGTCCATAATTTCTCTACTGATCATTAATTTAAGAAATATTTTTATTTATTTGATGGTATGAAACGAGAATCTATAGAAATACATTATCCAAATTTAGCTCAATAAACCTAAAATCCTATTGATAATTAGACATATAGAATGATTAAGACTGCTTATTTAATAAAAGATATCAACTATTACCATTAAATAACAGTTGATTTAGATCCAATTAATTTTATTTACACTTTCAAAAATTACATAAATAATGAAAAGGGACTCAATATTGAAGTAGATAGTACTCGTTAAAATGGATGTTGTTTTGATGATTTGGATTTAAAAATTCAAGTATCAATGTAATAATTGAATATGTTATTGAAATCCTACATGTAAATTGAAAAAGAACAAGAGTATTTAGCAATAATTTAAGGATTTGTTAAAATTTATGGAGATTTTGCAATTGCTCCTGCTCATTCACCAAAACTTAGATAATTATATCCTGTTATTCTAAATTAACTTAAATAGTTAAGTTAAATTGATTATGAGATGGATTAAGAATCAATTTAGAAATTATAAGATACTACATCAGATTTGGTTTAAAGCTTATAATCATTTACAAAATTGAGCAATGAGTTAAATTTAAACTTTAAGGTATTAACTTCAGATCACACTGAATCATTAATCCAAAGAATAAAGTAAAGTTGTTATTTATTTAAGAATAGACAAATTTCATTTAATATAAGATATTGCATCAGAAAGATTGGCTAAATAAATGTAGTTAAACCCAAACTGTTGTGATTTAACATCCCTTTATGTTAAATAAAGTACATAATAATCAGTCTAGTATATATTATCTTAGAAAAATGAATTAAAAAGTATGATATATAATAATGTTTATAGGGAAGGACTATGGGAGAAAAAGATTAATTTGGCATTTGCTCAAAAATTAAATTGATTTTTAATCTTGGCATCTCTTTTTTGAGAGACTCTTTGTATAACAATTGAATTATATTCCAAATGATCTAAGATTTAATTAAACTCTGATAACTTAAAAATCTAAATTAACTATAAAAGTAGAAGATTTGAAATATAATTTATGGGGGATAGGTCTGATTTAAAATGCCTATTCATTATTTTTGTAAAATCCTGAGCATCCTGATTTTGATAAATGGGCCTAATATCTATTATCAAAACTATTAAATTATTTGCCAGTATTAAGTAATATAAGTGATGATGATAATAATAAAATTATTTTGGATGATCTAAAGGGTGGAATATTATTAGAATTTGATTAAACTTTTAAGAAAGTAGTTGTATTAAAAAATAATTTGCTTAAACTTTGTGCTAAATTTATTCATTTTTTATTGGTTTCAAAGAATATAAGTGTATTTGATTAAGTGATAATACAAATAAATTAACTGTTAAAAAGGAATGAAAATGGAATGTATGAGATTTTGAATATAATTTT